ATAATTAAATAAATTATCATCATTTTAATAAGTTTAATAAATCGATGGTAGAACAACCAAAAAAAAAAAAAAAAAATTTAAAAAAAAAAAAAAACATAAAAAGTTGAAAAGAAAATACGCAAAAAAAAAAATCTAATATTACGTAATAAAAAACAATAAAGCGGAAAGGGGGGAGAAGCGAGGGGGTGGAATTACAACAACTTAACACTTCGACACGTTTCATATTTGTAATTTTTTTTTACAGAAAACAAAAAAAACTTTACATATAAATTTTAAAGTAGAATAAAATTTGAGAAAGTGTGGTTAGAATAAAATTTTGTTTTGTTTTTTATAACTTTACAACCTGACAATTTTATGTTATAAAAAACACCCAAAAAAAATTGTCGAAAAAACATTAATTGTGTCAGTATTCAAAAACAAACAAACAAACAAATGAAAATATGGGTTAAAAATTACATAATTTATGTTTTGGGGTTGTTGTTGTTGTTGTGTAAAAAAAAAAAAAAAAAAAAAAGAAAGAAAGAAATTTTTGGCAATAAAAACAGGAAGAAAAACGAACGGAAAATATTTTTATATAAAAATAAAAAGTTAAAATATATATAGTTTTTTTTTTTTTCTTCACAAAAGTAAATTTACGGAAACTACAAAACGTTATAGTAGAGTAATAAATTTCTTATCGAAATAACAAAAAAAGGAAAGAAAAAAAAATTTTCTTATCATTTCGATATTTTCGTCTACGTTCTTCGATTTAAAACTTTTTTTAAACTTTTCTTACTTTAATAAATTTTCTATTATTTCTATTATTTTTTCACCTACTAAAAAACATAATTTTTCCCTCTCTTCCCCACTTTTCCTCCACTAAATTACAACGCCATATATAATTCCTCAATAATAATAATAATAACTTATAAATCAAATGTCGATTTCGAATTTTCCTCAAGTTTAAAAACAAAAAAAAAGGAAAAAAATTTATTGGATTTTCTTTGTATAAAAAAAAAAAAAAATCCGAAAAATATTTTTTTCTCATTTTCCTAACATTTTCCTCTCTTATCAAAATCACCTCATCAAAAAATTTATAAAAAAAATAAAAACAAATCCCATCATAAAACAAATCCCATCATAAAACAAATTCTCCCATTAAAAAAAGAAAAGAAAATTTTGAGATGTTAAATCATTTTTTTTTACTAATAATAATAATATCGAATCACCATCGAATTTATCATTATTATTATTATTATTTTTTTAGTAGTAGTAGTAGTATTAGCAATAGTAGTAGTAGTAGTAGTAATGGTAGTGATAGTATTTCATAATTAAAATAAAATTAAAATGTGTTTAAATTAGTTCAAACTATTAAATTATTACCGATCCGTTAGCTTTAATAAAATGAAAACAATGACGTCAAAGTCATTGATAAAATTGATAAACATATTATTACAAATTATTACAAACCCTACGACTTTCCGGTTTTTTTTTTTTTTTTTTTGGTTTTCTATTACAGAAACGGAAAATTTTTGGGAAAAAAACAAAATTTGGTGTAATAAATTACGATAACTCGTGAAATAATATTAATAATAATAATAACAATAATAATAATACGACCCGGTTAAAAATAAACCAACACATACGCATACGTAAATACGAACATGCATTATTTAATTTATATGATGAAATAATATTAATAATAATGATAATAAAAAACGGGCGTTTTTTCGCCCACGGTAATAAAATGATAATAATTCTTCTTATTTTTGAATTTGTGTTTTTTTTTTTTTTAATGCATTACAAAATTTAAAAAAAAAAAAATTTGTTTATTCTCATCCGTCGACGTGAAAACTTACCCGTAATAAAATAGTAATTTTATTATTATTATTTTGTTACTTATTTAAATACGTTAACGAAATATATAAGGTCGGTTATTGATTTTTAGATTTTTCGTTTTTTTTTTTTTTTTTAATTTATTAAACTTGGCGGTGAATAAACGACCCACGAGACTTTAAGGCATTTAATATTAGATTAAGGACCCTTTATTATTATTATTAAGTAAATAAATAAATAAATAATTTATTAATTTCGATTTGACAAATTTATGTAAGAATAAATTTTTTTTTTTTTTTAAATTTATAACCGCGTGTCATTTTCATTCAATTCATCGTGTTTTATTTAATTTTTTTTTTTGTTTGTTTGCTTGTCGTGCGAGTTAATTTTTGTTGTTGTTTGTTGTCGTTGGTTGTATAGGATTTAATATTTTTTTTTTTTTTTATAAGGACGCCCAGACGGATAATAAACGTGTAATGTTGTACGTGTCGAGGGTATTTTCCGTATATTGTTCCTGGTTTCACTATCCAAAAAAATTTTTTTTTTATCAAGGATTTTTATTATCATTATTTTTTTTTTTTTTACTTCGTTATCCTGTTGTTATCCAGAAAGAAAAAAAAATTACTTTTTATCGCATTACGTAATATTACCAATAGAAAATTTATTTATTTTATTACCCGTAAATTTTTCTTTTATCTTTTTTCTTAAAAAAAAATTTTTTCCAATGAACTCTTATTAAAAATAAAAATTTGTCGCGTGTTTGCAAGAGTTTGAGGAATTAATTTCATTTTGATCCCACGGGAATAATAATTGGGGTTTCGTTGTAAATAATACCACGTGAATTTTTTAAGTTTCCCTGATTCCATCTTATTCCCTAATTGGGCTCCAATGACTGAACAACTGAAGGTTGTCAGAACAAGAACTCCTCTCTGGATTCGTATTTGTCTTGTTCTGTTAAAAACCCGACGGCAAGTGTACTCTAGAAGAATTTTTCCAGAAATTTCTTCAGGAAAGTTTTCTGTAGGAATTTATTCAGAATTCTCCAGTAATATTCCGGCGATTATCTAGTAAGTTTTCCAGACTTCTCCAAAACTCTCCAGGAAATTCTCCAGGTATTTTCCAGAGTTCTCCATCAACCTCTCCGAAATTCTTCAGAAAATTCCCCCGAATTTTCTAGAAAATTTTCCCGGAAATTTCTTCAGACTTCTCCGAAATTCTCCAGAAAATCCCCTAGACTTCTGTAGTAATTTTTCTAGGTAATTCTTCAAAATTCTTTTTAGCAATTTCTCCAGACTTCTTCAGCAATTTTCCAGAATTCTCCAGGAAATTTTCCTTACTACTCCAGCAATTTCTCCAGACTTCTTCAGCAATTTTTCAGAGTTCTCCAGGAAATTTTCCGTTCAACTACTCCAGCAATTTCTCTAGACTTCTTCAGTAATTTTCCAGAATTCTCCAGGAAGTTTTCCATACTACTTTAGCAATTTATCCAGACTTCTCCAGATTATTATAATTATTATTTTTTTGCCGCATTATTAAATTTACGAAAAATTTTTTTATTTAATTTCTTTTTTTTTTTCGTATACCGAAATACGAGATTTTTACATCAAATAATGAAAGTTGTTTTAGTTTTTAAACATTTCGATTATCGTTTATTATATCGTATCGATGCGATTGATATAAAAAAAAAACAATAGCAAACCTTAAAGCCCAAAAGTAAAACAAAAAAAAAATTAAAGCGCCCCGTTTATATTTTCATATTTAAATTTATACGATTTATGATTTTAAAAATAAGATACGGTCCTGGAAAAATATTAAGCAGACCAAATTTAATTTGCCGCAAATTCAGAAGGTTGACTTCAGAAGTGATTAAAACCTTTTAAATAAACAATAAGCAATTTCGTTGTGTAGAAATTTGTTGTAGTGTCACCAGATTCGAACGCTGAGTACGGATTTATTTTAATTAAATGGATCCATCGACGATAAATAATAATAATAATAATTATTATTATGAATTTAAATTTAAATCTTATAAACCTCATCCCGTTGTTATAAATTTATTAATTTTTTTTTTTTCGATGAACTGAACAATCGGATTTGAAAAAATTTCCCCGAATCATCTTTTTTCTTTTAAAAAATTTTCAATTTTTTTTTTTTTGAAAATCAATTAGGATTTATCCGATATTATTGTATTTTCTTGTTTTTCCTTTCTCGTTCCACGTTCTTTGACCACTTTTCATCGACTAAATTCAATAATACCTCGGAGTAGGAGGAGGTAAAAGATATTCATCGAGTTCGAGAGCACGTCTCGTTTCGCAAACTGATACAATAATAATAATAATAATAATAATAAGGACCTACTTCGTATTTACTGGAAATGGGGTGGGGTCGGATAAGGACGTGAGAAATCACGTTGAGACTATATAAACCGCACGTGGTACCTTAAATAAAATCAGTACAATATTTATATTGTTAAATAGTGGATACCTTTTGAATATACAAAAAAAATAAGGTGAGAAAATCGGGAAAAGTTTTATCCAATTTTTGACTGTAATAATAATAATAACTATCGGTGATATATTTTTGTTTGTTTAATAAAACGAAGGGATCGTACCAATAAAATTTAAAATGGAATTTAAAAAAAATTTTTTTTAAGTGATTTTTTTTTTTTTTTATAGTAATAATTTTAGAAAAAAATCCATAAGTTATTTCTTTTTTAATATTTATAGAGTATTTTGTTATTAATTTTTAGTGAGTTGAAATAGTGGAAATTTTACAAAAAAAAAAAAAGTCGGTTTATATAGTGCTGTAGGTTATAGGGATACTATTTGGGGAAAAATTAAATTTTTTATAGCGCTACAGAATAAGATAAACTCGATGTAGTAAATAAAATTTTTTAAAAATTAAAAAAAATTTTTCCGAATTGTAAAATTTTAAAATGATCGACTTATACGAAAAATAATAATAGGATGAATAGTTTTAATTAATTGTCGCGTAAATCAATTAAACTGGTCGTAGCGAGAAACGACTTTGTCGTGAAATAATGAAGATAAATTGATGACATGCATGCTATTTGTTTATTATTTTTTTTATTAAAATAAATTTAAATTATGTTTCTATTAGTTCGTCGAGTTCAAATGTCTGATGGTTTTTTCATTTTTTTTTTTTTTTTTTTTACAGGTTAGAAAATGAAATTTGCTCTTCTTGTAGTAGCTTTGGCTCACGTAGCCTCCTGCGGACACTTGGGTGCTCTTCGTGCTCCGGCTGATGTTACCTACGTTGATGGATCTTTTCACGCTGGATTAGCCGCCGGACCAGTCGGCTATTCTGGAGCTGTTGCCTCTTCCGCTCCAGTTGCATTTTCTGCTTCCCCAGTCGCTACCGTTACCGCTTCTCCAGTGGCAACCGTTTCCGCTTCTCCTGCCACTTTTGCTGCTCCTCCAGGAGTCGCTCAAGGTTCTTTTGCCGCTGCTGGTTCGGTTTCATACGGTGCACCAACTGTTACTAAATATGCTGCCATTCCGGCTGTTCAACACGTTCCTGCTGTTGCTGATGTTCCAGTAACTAGAGTTAACACTCAAACTGGTGTTATTCAAAACACTGTCGATCTCGCTAGACCAGCTGTTAAAACTCAAAGATTTGAAGTTAGACGACCAGCTATTCAAAAACAATTTTACGACATCGAAGAACGTGTTGTTGTCAGACCAGCCGGATCCGCCGTTGTCGAACTTAATGAACCATTGAGCAGAACTCAAAAAGGCCCAGCTGTTATTCAAGCTACTGGTGAAGCTGTTCAAGTCGGCTCTCAATCTGTAGCTGTTCCGACTGGACCAGCTGTCTCTACCGTCTCAGGACCCGCCGGAGTTGTTAGCGGTGGTTCTTCATCTGTTCAATCTGGTACCGTAACTGTCGGAGGTGGTTCTGGTGCTTTTGCCCCAGCTCCACCAGGTGCACCAGTTCAAGGCACTGCTTACGCTCCAGCTGCTCCAGTTCAAGGCACTGCTTACGCTCCAGCTGCTCCAGTTCAAGCTACCGCTTACGCTCCAGCCGCCCCAGTTCAAACTACAGCTTATGCTCCAGCTGCCCCAGCTCAAGGAGTTTCTTACTCTGCACCAGCTCAAGGAGTTTCTTACTCCGCACCAGCTCAAGGAGTTTCCTATTCCGCACCAGCTCAAGGAGTTTCCTATTCCGCCCCAGCTCAAGGAGTTTCTTACTCTGCTCCAGCTCAAGGAGTCTCTTTCTCTGCCCCAGCTCAATCAGTTTCTTACTCTGCTCCAGCTCAAGGAGTATCTTTCTCTGCTCCAGCTCAAGGAGTTTCTTACTCTGCACCAGCTCAAGGAGTTTCTTACTCTACTCAAGCTCATGGATTCTCATTCGCTAGTCCGGCTCAAGGAGTTTCCTACTCTGCCCCAGCTCAAGGAGTTTCCTACTCTGCCCCAGCTCAAGGAGTTTCCTACTCTGCCCCAGCTCAAGGAGTTTCCTACTCTGCCCCAGCTCAAGGAGTTTCCTACTCTGCCCCAGCTCAAGGAGTTTCTTACTCTGCACCAACTCAAGGAGTTTCTTACTCTGCTCCAGCTCAAGGAGTCTCTTTCTCTGGCCCCGCTCAAACTGTTACTGTTTCTGCTCCAGCTCAAACTGTTTCCGTTTCCGCTCCAGCTCAAGGAGTCTCTTACTCCGCTCCAGTGTCTGGTGTCTCAGTTTCTGCTCCAACCCATGGAGTATCTTTCTCTGCCCCAGCCCAAACTGTTTCTGTTTCTGCTCCAGCTCAAACTGTAGCCGTTTCTGCTCCAGCCCAAGGAGCTTCTTTCTCTGCCCCAGCTCAATCAGTTTCTTTCTCTGCCCCAGCTCAATCAGTTTCTTACTCTGCTCCAGCTCAAGGAGTTTCCTATTCTGCCCCAGCTCAAACTTTAACCGTATCTGCTCCAGCTCAAAGTGTTGCTGTTTCTGCCCCAGCTCAAACTGTATCTGTATCTCCTGCTCCAGTTCACTCCGCTCCAGCTAGTGCTCCAGTTCAAACTGTTGCCGTTACTCCAGCTCCATCTGTCACCGTATCTTCCCCATCCCAAACTCTCGCTCCAGCTCCAACCGTTGCCGTATCTGCTCCAGCTCAAACCGTTTCCGTTTCCGCTCCAGTCGTAGCTCAAGTTCACTCCGCCGGTGTTTCCGGACTTTCTGTTGGCGGCGCTTACGCCCCAGGTACTTTCACAACCGCCGCTCCATCTTACTCCGCCGGTGGATTCAGATCTAACGGAGTTGTCGGATATCAAACATACGCCGCTCCATCTGCTGCCCCAGCCTTATTCAGCTCTGCTTCCGCTCCAGGCTACTCAACCTCTTTGACCGAAGCCGGCCTTGCCTCAAACGGAAACTCCAGAGTTAACCACGAAAACCAACAAAAATTGCTTCAACTTCTCACCGCCAGAGGTAATTAAATATTTTTACATTCATTACTTAACTTTGCCATAAATTTTAAACTTTAACCCGCGTATTCAATATTGAATACACCCAATATTACGACAATAAAACTTTTTTATTATTATTATGATTTATATACATTTAAGGTAATATTGAATCTCGTTTTCATTTCCGCTAATTAAATATTAAATTTTCACTCTTGGAAATTAAAAAATTATATATAATTATCATTTAAATGTCTTTAATGCCCTTAAAAAATATTATACAATTTTAAAATTTTAACAATTAAAACTTTCAGAAGTATTTGCCCTTTAAAAAAAAAAAAAAAAGAAAAGAAAGAAATTTTTACAGGAGTTGACTACTGCAAAAGTTTTGCAAGATTAATTAATCACACTCACGATGACCTTGTACCATCAAATCACAAAAATTCCAAGAAAGAATTTTCACATAAAATAAATACGAATCGTGAGAAAAATTTCTGATCTAATTTTACAATCTACCACCATCACCATCACCACCACCACCGTCGTGACTTATTTCAAATTAATAAATTAATAAATCAATATCCGTCCTTGAAGAAAAGGTTGATAATGGAGTCGATAAAACAGTTGAGAAATATTTTTTTTTTATTAGGAGGAGTCACCGAAGTTGGCTTTGAAAGATCCGGAAGTGCTTCTCCATTTCCAATCAGCGCGGGAGGAGTCAGAGGAAGAGTTGTTTCCGCAACTCCAGCTCCAGCTTTTGCTGCACCGACCAACGAACGCGTCAACACCAGAAGAGTAGTTGTTAGCCGTCCGGTCGAAACTCTTCAGGAAGTCGAAGTTGCCGAACCCGTGACCAAATACGAAAGAGTTCAAACAGCTCAACCGACCGTTTTCAAAAGTGCCAGTCACGATGTTGTAAGAGTACCAACTTCCGTACCGGTACACGGTAAAATCTTAGCTCCAGTCGCCGAAGAAAGTTACTCTCCACTTCCAGCCGGATGGCAATAAATTAATTTTTCTCTCATCGACGACGAACCGTATTAAAAAAAAAAAAAAATGTTCGATTCGTCAATCTTTCACCCGATTTTTTTCTTTAATTTATTTTTTATAAGAAATGATGACGCTCTTTCATTATTATTATTATTATTATTATCATAATCGTTAAATATTTATTTTAGTTTTACGAAAAGAAAGAAATTAATAATTTATATTAATGACGTAAAAAAATAAAATAAAATAATCTTTCAAATTTTAACGAGAAACAAACAAACTACATGTAAAATTTGTATAAGATACCATTTATTTATGTTTTAATTACTTTTTTTTTTTTTTTTTTTAGTAATAAAAAATTTTTTAAAAAAAATCTCATTCATTTATTGTTATTATTACTATTACTTTTTATTACCACGAGTAATGAATAATTTCAAAAAAAAAACTCCAAACCATAAAATTATGAAGGGTAAAAAAAAAAAACAAAAAAAAAATTCTTTCTACGTAAGTAATATAATAGTCATTACGCGTTTCCTAGTAATTTTCTATTCGCCCTTTTATAGCGAATAACAACGTCATCAAATCATTATTATTGTTGTTGTTGTTAGTGAATAAACAAAATAAAAAAAAAAATTATTAAAACTTTACGGGTAGGAGGTATATACCCCGGGGTATAAATTAACCGTTAGTTATACTTCCTTGTCCAGTGTTTTCCTCTTCCAAAAAAAACATTCAAATCGATTCCTTTATTTGATTTTTAACCCCCTTTCAAACTACTTATTATTATTATCATTATTACTACTACTTCAAAGTCACAAACTTTTCCCGCGTTTTTAAACGCCCAAAATCGCAACGGTAAAATAACAACAATAATAATAATAAATTTCAAATGAGAGAATTTTGTCGAAATCAAACATCAAAAAAAGGTCACGCGATCGATCGATCGATCGATCCATCGATCCATCGATTGTAATAAAATATTTATCAACACGGTTATAAAAGTAATATTAATTACTACCCCGTAAGATAAAATAAAATTTATTATTTACGGTTAAAAAATGATTAACAATTGTTTTTAAAAATATTTAACAAATGTTGAGGAAATGTTTCAAGTGATTAAATAAAAGAAAAAAATTTATTTCATTGCCAAAGGCAAACAAAATAAAAATAAAAAAAAAAAAAAATGTTTTTTAAAGTCGTGGTCCGTAACATTGAAATAATAAATTAAAAGTAAAAGTTTTAATTACGTAATAAAAGGTTCCACGTTTATTTGCAAAAGTGTTTTTATTTTTACGTTTTTTGATCTACGTCATTAATTTTTTTTTTTTTTTAAATCAAAATTATATATTCGATTGATATCATTAATTAATATTTTATTCCTTTTTTTTTTTTTTATCGGTGGACAAAAAAGAAAACGAAAAAAATTTTTTTTTTTTTTTTCTAAATCCACGAAAATTTCATTTCTAAAGTCACGAACTTGTCGGTCTTGTTGTTTTCATAATATTGTGTCTATCAATTGTGTTTTTCGTATAAAAATTTAAAATTTTTTCTGATTTTTTTTTTTTTTTTTTTTAATGTAAAAAGTAACAAAAAAGGCGTGACTGTCAACTAATAAAAGATTAATATAAAATACATTAATAATAATAATAATAATAATGGTATAATGTTTGTCGTGGTGTGAATTATAATGACCGTTTTAAAATATCAAACACGAAAATCATTTTACCCTCTTTCATTTCGTCATCATTTAGATTATTTATATTTATATTAAAAAAAAAAACTTTAATCAATAAATTCAAAGAAAAAGGAAAAATTAAAAAGGGGAGGGGGGAGAAAGCACAACAAAACAACGATAATACTAATAATAAAAGTTTTTTCTGTGACGTCACACTTTTAATTTATTTAAATAATAAAATAAATCATTCATTAAAAAAAAAGGGAAACTTCTTAAAAAAAGTTTTTCAAAAAAAGAAAAAAAAAATTACTATTATTTTATTTATGAATTTAAAGTAAAAAAAAAACTTAAACTTTAAATTGCGAAACGAAAAAAAAAACATGAATAATAATAATAATAATAATAATAATAATAATAATAATAATAATAATAATATTAATATACATATATTTTTTTAAAATTTTTTGTAATTATTAAACGCCTACAAAATTGCAACTAAGCAACTTGTCAATTAGTTACGTAAATGAAATAAAGCAACAAATTATTTTTAAAAATCGGAAAAGTTTTATCGAGAGTAATTAAAATTAATTGTCAATTATTTGAAAAGCAGAGAATTAAAAATTCGAAAAAAAAATGAACGAGCATACATAGATGAACAGGCAAAAAAGAAACTTAAAAATAAAACTCGGTAGATAAATTGTTGAACGAGAGAAAAACATACAGCATTACGACCATTAAACGATAGAATACGATCATTTATAGAAAATTTCAAAAAACACCAAATAAGAAACTCAAACCATTTTCATTCCAAATAAATAAATAAATTAATTAAAGTGCATTCAGGTGTATTTTGTTCAACTCAATCAAATAATAATAATAATAATAAATTAAAAAGAACCATGCGACAAACATTACGAATTCAATGACAAATTATTAATAAATTTTTTTTTTTTGTTAAAAGTTTAAAAAATTATTAACGCATGTATATGTATTATTAATTTCTTTTAGGAAAAATTTACACTCCGAGTATAAAAATTTTATTAATTATTTATAAAGTAAAATTAGGTAAAGGCGTTTTGTGCGTGTGCGTGTGCGTAATTACTCAGACATTTGCTTTCGAGTAAAAAAAAAAAACAAAAAAAATTAATTTTAATTAACGCTAATTAAAAAAAAAAAAAAAACACAATTAGCATCTCTCCAAAATTGTATGAGTTACGGTGAAAAAGATTTTTTATCAAATTTTTACAAAAAAAAAAAATTCACATTCAAATCCACAAAAAACCAAATTTTTCGAAATACAATAAAGAATTTATTAATACTAATAATGATAATAATAATAAAATACGAGAGAGAGAGAAGGAAGAAAAAACGGAGGGAGGAGGAAGGGAAAGAGAAATAAGAAAAGAGAAAGAAGGCCAATCGTAAACTGGTAATTGAACAAGGCAATGATTATGCAATACGTGAGAGAGAAATTTTTAGGAGAAAGATACGTAAGGCCAGGTATACGTTTAAAAAAAAAAAAAAGAAAGAAAGAAAGAAAGAAAAAGAGAAAAGAAAAAAGAAGAAGAAGAACTTGAATAATGGTGTACTACTAGAAGACAAAAAGTGGTCGAGTATTAAACTCGAAATTTCACGTGAATTTTTTTGTTTTTTCGTTTTTTTTTTTTTAAACACGTAACCGCCGCGTATATTTTTTAATTTTAATTTTTTTTTTCGATAGAAAAAATTATTTAAGGAATAAAATAAATAAATAAATAAATATCAGGTAAGAAGCATACTTTTTTTTTTTTTTTTAAATTAAAAAATACGTTATCAATTAATAATAATAATAATTTTTTTTATTATTATCATCGTAAAAAAAACCTTCGAACGTTTTTATATATAAAAATCATTATTTTTTTTTTAAAATAATTTTTTATTATTATTACCGTAATAAAAAAAAAAATACCGGATTAGATCATCGCGAATGAAAACCTTTAAACCTTCGTTTCGTTTCGTTTTGTTTTGTTTGTTTTGATTTTTGTTTGCGGACGACGAACAACAACAACAAACAATCAACGCAATTTTATAAAATGTTCTCGATTCAGAGGACGTTAGCCTTTCAAGTATTATTATTATAACTATTATTTATTTTAAAAAAACTAATTTACTAAAAAAAAATTAATTAAAGCGGTTAAAAAAAAAAAAGACTAACCGCGTTCTGCTTTGAAAAACATTCGAACGAGTAAAGGAAATAAATAAATTTTTACCGTATAAGAGAAAACAACATTCCGATGAAGATTTCGTTCTATATAACAACCCTTGTTTTTTTTTTTTTTCTTAACCGTTTTTACCTTTTACGTAAAATTAAATATACATAATGATAATAATAATAATAATAATAATAATAATAATAATAATAATAATGATATTTGAATAACAGGTGAAAAGAGAAAAAAAAAAGGTGAAAATGACACGGATAAAAAAAAAGTTTTTTTTTTTTTCATACGATGGCGGCATTCCGTATTTTTTTTTTTTTTACAACTTGTTCAGTTACATAATTTTTTTTTCTTTTTTTTAAATTATAATGGTAAATATTTATATTATTATTATTATTATTATTATTATTATTATTATTATTATTATTATTTAAACTCTGATGATTTTCCTGAATTTTTTTTTTTCATACGCGTATTAAAATTAATTAAAAAAAAAAAAAAAGGGGGTTGCCACGATGAAGTTTCATTTACCGACAAAATTAATAAATTTTTATTGAAAAAAAAACCAAAAAAATCAAAAACGTGACAAACAACGAGAACAACAAACAAAACAAACGCGAATACGTTCGAACTTATTCAAACAATGATGTCGATTTTAACAAACAAACAAAAAAAAATTAAAAATTAAAAATTTGTTTGTTTTGTTTTTTTTTGTCTCTCTCCCATTTTATTTATTTATTTACATTTAATAAAAAAAAATTTTTTTAGTAAAAACTCGATGATTATTATTATTATTATTATTATTATAAAATAAAAAAAAATTTATGTACATAACACGTTAATAATAATAATAATAATAATAATACCACGTAGGAGTCACTCCTCATACCTACTCCTCGATTTATTGATTTTATAAAAAAAAAAAAAATTTTATTTATTTATTTATCTTTAAACTTTTTTTTTTTTTTTTTTTTTTTTTTTTAAAGTAAATAAAAATTTGAATTTAAAATTGATTTAAAAAAAAAAAAATGGCGCGAAAATTAAATTTAAATTTTACGATAAAAAAATTATATTAAAATCCCGTTTAAACGTTCAAAATTTTATTAATTTTATTACTATTAATTTTACGTGACTGACAGATGATT